CTTATGTCCGTTAGTGCAGCTAGCTAACCAGATGCTAACATCACGGTCCCCGCTGGCACCGGTCCCTCTCTCTCCCTCTCCCTCTCTCTCACACTAAATGCGCTATTGCCACACACCAGTGTTGTAGTCAAGTCACCAATTCACGAGTCCAAGTCACTCTCGAGTCACCACTCTTCGAGTCCGAGTCCAAGTCCGAGTCACCCAAGGAGTGTCCGAGTCGAGTCCGAGTCATCATTACCTGTGTTCGAGTCTGAGTCCAAGTCCGAGTCACCCAAGGAGTGTCCGAGTCGAGTCCGAGTCATCATTACCTGTGTTCGAGTCTGAGTCCAAGTCCGAGTCACCTAAGAAGAGTCCAAGTCAAGTCAGAGTCACAAGTCTTCATGTATTAATCTTCGTGGATATATGTGTTGAAATGTAGCTGCTCCTCTATATTGCTTTTATCCTGTCATGTTATACTAATCTGTCTATTGAACTGCTGTGAAGCCAGTTTGGCTACAATTCTTGTAATAGGTGCTATACAAATATAAATCTTATTACTAATATTAATATTATTATTATTATATATAAATAAACTATGTTTAAAATGAGTTACCTTTTAGAGAAGTGATTATATTTGAATGCCAATATTTTCCTATGGTAAAGTTTTCGTTTTGCACTTTTATTTTGATAGTAATAACATCGGGACTCTTATTTTGAAGGAACTTTTACCGGTTAAATCGGTTTACTGATAAAGATTTAGCCCCAGAAAGCACATGGCTACTTAGCATGCAAAATGACGTCATTCTGCATGTTAAGTAGCCATGTGCTTTGTGTTATCGCTGAATCTTTATTTATTGATTAGATCACGTTACTCTGATGATAGTGTTCAAGACAGCCTATATGTCTGAACTCGATGTTTAGAGTAATGTGTTACGGAGCCTTCTCTTCAATATTGTTTCCACATAGAGCATTTTGCGCTGCTCTTTTCCAATGTGGAAGCAGAATGTGTGAAAGCATACAGCACGATGCGGGGTGTGTCTCCAGACATCTTAATGGCGGATTTCCACTACACGGTCGGCCTCGGCCACGCTCGGTACGGCTCGGTACGGCTTGGCCGCGTTGGGCCGACTCACTTCATGCTGCGCTTCCATTACAGTTTAGGAACTGGGGTAGTTACTATAGTAACGCAGTGTAGGCGGAGCCGTGACGTCATCTTCAATGAGAACTCCAGAAACACAACACAGCCGTTAGCTGTTAGCACCCAGAGCTCACAGCTCCTTATATATGTTCAGAAACTCGACAAAAGTTAAACAAGTACACACCACAGACTGCCTGTGTCATGGTGAATACAGTCGCTGCTTTATTTATGTCTGTATAGGCCGTTGTTGTGAGTGTGGACGGTCGGAGCATATACTGCGTTAGCTTAGCCAATCTCCATCTAGAAAAACACGTATTTTAAAAGGTTTTTCGCCTGCCGTCTGTCTGCAGACTTGACAAAGCATTAATTCATGGTTTTTACTAACCGGTATCAGTATGTTGTTACTTCGGCATCATTTTGAAACGTGTATTACAATTAAATCACGGTCAAATATGTCCATCTTGTTGTAGTTGTAGCCCCCTTGCCAGCGCTCCTCTCTCTAGTTTAGCATACTCAGCCCGACTTAGCCCTGTTTGTTGGCCTTGATAGAACCACAATTTTCTCGGGCCAGAAAAGACGTGAAAAAGTGGCCCCGGGCCGGGCCGGGCCGGAACTAGGCCTAGTGGAAGCGCAACCAAAAACGGGCACGGCACGACACGGCACGCTTAAAGCGAGCTCCGCGCTGTAGTGGAACTGCGCCATTAGACTGGAATAGCGGGGCCCAGTACATGAACTCGCCTCGCAGCCGGTGCACACGCCAGGATAGAGGACATCAGACTCCATAGAAAACTTGCTCGAGTCCGAGTCCAAGTCGTCATGGGGGGAAAAATTCACGAGTCCGAGTCCGAGTCCAAGTCAGCGTACGCGATAATTCACGAGTCCGAGTCCAGTCCAAGTCATCGTGCGCGAGAATTCACGAGTCCAAGTCCGAGTCGCGTCAATCAGTGCGCGAGTCCGAGTCGAGTCACGAGTCCCGAAAATCGGCACTCGAGTCCGAGTCCAGGACTCGAGTACTCCATCTCTGCCACACACACACAGAGCCGAGCTTGAATGACACAAGCACACGTGTATTTCCATGCAACTCTCTGATTGGTCTGGTGTCATGCCCAGACCCGGCGTCATGGGCGGGCCCCATGGGGCCGGGCCCGCCCATCCAGGATTTGGGCCCGCTGTTTTAATCAGGGCAATACAACATTTTAATTGTTTTATTATTATGTTTATTGTTGTTATTTGTAGGGCTTTGTCCTAATATTGATTTTTGTTTTAAACTGTTGAAAGATTAGTTTAATATCATTTTTGTATTTTGCTATGAAATTCTGAATGAAAGGCTGCGCGCGAGACTATTTTTTCGCTGGGTTGAGTCGTGTGGGTTTTTGAGTGAGATGCGGCACAGCAGCCTGTCAGTTTACTCTTGTTGGTTAGTTTGGCTATTATCATTTATATTTATCTGCAACAATGGATATCAGGAAGTGGTTCATGAAAGGAATATGGCAACTCAGCGCCAGATGCAGCCACATTAGAAGAAATCAGTTATGTTACCAACAAGCTAGCAAGCCAGCCAGGGACAAGGGAGGCTGGCAATCAATTATATTTTGAAGAGAAATTGACTCTCAAGACGGCTCTCTCACAAACTCCTGCTCTGTGCGCAAGCAGACCGCTGCACACGCTCTCTGCCTGCCTCGCTCAATCTCTCTCTCTCCCTTTCTCTCCATCGCTCAACCTCACTCCACCTCTCCACCCTGTGTGCGCTCCTCAAGTTTGCCTGTGCTTGCCCAAGTTGGCACAGCGTTACAAATGTGCCACAAAACCAACCAATGGATTTAGCCTATAATAAGACCGTCAACAGCCTTATGGCAACCTCAAACCCCTCTGTTTCCGTAACAACAATTCACGAGCGCCTCCCTCACCCCCCCCGTTGACAAATCTCGAGCGTAACAGCCCTCCCCCGTTGACAATTATGATTTCCCAGGAAATGTAAATTTCGGGGTGGGCCCGCCCTGGTAAATCAAATGCCCGCCCAGAGACGTATGTCTGCCGCCGGGTCTGGTCATGCCTCTGTTGCATTCACTGAACACGGGAAATTGCCTTCCTGCCGTCCTCTCTTGTGTCATGATGAGGTTCACGTAAAGCACGGTTAATGTATTATATTATTGAGGTGTCTAAAATATACGTCAATCAAGTGGCACCTGCAAACGGGGTGGTGGATGATAGGTTTACATCTAAAAACTTATTTTTCAAACATTATTATTTTTATTTTATTTTAATTTCTTTTGTTACTTTTTTTTTTAACAGTCGCGATCTACCCGCACCACACGGTCGATCGCGATCGACTGGTTGGCGACCACTGCTTTAAAGTGATCGTCACACTCACTATGAACACTTCAGTTAGTTATGTGGATCTGTAATTAACTCTGGTTTGAATGTGTCGTTAAATGATTCATTAAACAGATCAACCAGAACTCTAACTCTTTACCTTTTTATATAATACATTATTATTCTGTCAGCATTTATGACGTCTATATTTCTTTCTGCTTTTTCCCCCCAACAGCTGCAGATGTGAAACCTTACTCCCGTATTGTCAGAGCTGGAGATTAAGTCACTTTGCCTTTTGACAATGTGATAGATGATCAGGATAAGTGTGAGAGGACTCTCTGGCTCTTCATTGATTCAAGAAGCCCAGCAGCAGTGACGCTGTTTGAAGACGGACAGATTCACAACCAGTGGCGTCGCCTGGCCTGGGCATCCGGGGCTTTAGCCCCGAATGTTTTTTCTGTAGCCCCGGACAATTCTCCCTCAATAATATAATACATTAACCGTGCTTTACGTGAACCTCATCATGACACAAGAGAGGACGGCAGCACTGTAATTTCCCGTGTTCAGTGAATGCAACAGAGGCATGACACCAGACCAATCAGAGAGTTGCATGGAAATAAACGTGTGCTTGTGTCATTCAAGCTCGGCTCTGTGTGTGTGTGGCAATAGCGCATTTAGTGTGATAGAGAGAGAGAGAGGAAGAGAGGGGGAGGGAGGGACCGGTGCCCGGTGCCAGCATGGACCGTGTTGTTAGCATCTGGTTAGCTAGCTGCACTAACGGACATAAGGAGCTGTTTGTTCCACAAGAAGCTGGAGGAGAGTCCTCTCCTCTCAGACTGAGAGACTCAGGTGAGCTAAAGGACTCTCTGAGTGTTTAGATACTTAACTTTAGTCTAAGTTATCTCAGTGGGTCTCAAACGGTTTGGTCACAAATTGTTCAAAAGATTATTTCCGCGGCACACCTTCATATGATCATTATAGTTATTAAGAAAATAAGAGAATAAAGGAAAAACAGGTATGAAATACTATATGGCAGTAAAACAAGAATAGAGTTTAAAAGGGGAGTGATTAGTAAAATATCCATAAAGAAAAAGTACATCTGTTTCCAATTCTGCTTCATATGGGTGTTGAGAGAGGTATCCAAAGATCTCTTCATTTTGCTCTCAAAGTGCACCAGATTGATGCTTTTAACTTCAATATTTAAAAAAAAATCTTCCCGAGGGAGCATCCCCCCGGACCCCCCTAGAGGAGGTGAGGTCTGCCCCCCACTCATAAAAAATACCACTTTACCCCTGCCTATATGCCGTGAGCTGATTATCGAGCCTTCATTGTAACAGTCGCGGGTGTACTGTGTGTGTGCGCATGTGGGGAGTGTTGCAGTAAAAAATGCCACTGTCGTGCCGCCGCCACTGTGTGCTAAGCCCCGAATGTTTTCAGGTCCAGGCGACGCCCCTGTTCACAACGATAGCAAAGCTAAACCAGACAGACTGAGAGTTACAGAGAAATGTTCTCTGGTTATAAAGAAGGTCACAGAGGAGGATGCTGGTTTTTACTTCTGCAGACAGTTCAGATCAGGACAACAACAAGGTTCAGGCTCTCGTGTTGATCTGTCTGTTGTTACCAGTGAGTATTTACATCATAATGTTTTCAAACTGTCTCTATACTGAAACATTCCAATAATTATGATGATTACAGTGATGAAGTACATTTAAATGTTGTTACATATTGTGGTTGTCTTTTCTCTCACAATATCTCCATCTTCAGTGACTGAACATCAGGACAATGATGAGGTGACGTTACACTGCTCTGTGGTGCCATATGGAGACTGTAGACTCACAGTGAAGTGGCTGCTTCAAGATCAAGATGTGGATAAAGATCACAGAGATATAAAGACATCACAGTCTTCCTGCTCTGCCTCTGTGACATTTCTGACTTCTCTTTTTAGTTACACAACAAGGTTTGAGTTGTTTACTTGAGAAGTAAGAGATGGTGCCAACGTGCAGACCTTCAGTCCTCAGACCTCAGGTGAGAACATGATGATCTGTTTAAAGTCACTTCTTACTGGTGTAAAAAAACAAACTTCAATATTTGTTTATTTTATGGACGATTAAAATGGAATAGTTTGTTAAGTTTTGTTCATCTGTTTAGGTGAGGACAAAAATCCAGCAACAACAACACCAACAACACCAACAACACAAACAGAACAAGAGGACAACAATAAAGGTAGAGAGAGAACAGAAAATATACATTCCCAGTTAGAAAAGACATGCACACATGCAGTATATACACACCTGGATGTACTGAAGAGGAGAAGGAGTGGACTCAGATACAACATAGTTTATAAAGGTAACATTTTATGTAGATAAAAAAGAAGAACTGTCTGGATTATAAATAACTTGTGTTTGTATCTGTATGTTCTGTACGTGTCCCTGTGTGAAGGTGACGAGGAAGCATCAAACAGCCAAGACACATTTTGTTCATTCAGATTTTAGAGATAAAGAGATAAAAACCTCTGACTATATTGAACTCTTTGGTACCACTTTACAATAAGACTACCCTTATAAAGGGTTTACGAATAGTTTGTGATTCATTTATTAATTAGGTTGTGAACACTTTATAAATCATTAATAAGATTTTATAAGACATGAGATAAACAGGGCAACTGTGACCGGTTGCTTGTCTAATAGTGAGCCCACATGTATCTCTACTGCTAAGTCTTATATTGGCTACCTAGCTTACTTCGTCTCCTTTCATCAGCCAGCATGCTTGGTATCTGTTGCTCACTGAGTTGATTCTCGCTAAGTAGTCAATATCAGGCTTAGTCATCTTGCCAAATAGTGAGCCTGTGTTGATGTATGAACACTATGTTAGAACTGGTTTATAAATGGCTCTTAATGATTAATAAAGTCTTTACAACCTAATTCATAACCTAATTATAAACCCTTTATGAATCCTTTATAAGGGTAGTCTTATTGTAAAGTGGTACCAACTCTTCTAACTTCTCTTTTCCAGGTCGCTTGAGGCTCATCATCGTGACTGTGGGTTTAGCAGCTCTCATCATCACCGTGGTTACAGTCAACATGTGGACAAGAGCTAAAGGTGAGAGATTTTCACAGATGAGATAAAAAATATATAAATAAAGGTGAAATCTAATATCAACTTGTTTTGTCCTTTTTTTCAGGGAGCAAAGCACAGACGGAAGAAAACATGGTGAGTTTGAACATTGCATAATTAAATGTGTGTTCATTAACCAAAATAACAGAAAACAGCAACAAAATGAAATAAATGCTCAATAAGGATGCTTCAAAGTGACCATGTAGTTGAATCAACAGCTCTTTATAATGCTTTCAATTACATTAAATGCAGCCAGTGGTAGCATGTAGATGATAAAGAGGAGAGGCCCCAAGACAAAGCCCTGAGGAACCCCACATGTCATATTTGTCCACTGAGATGTGTAGTTACCTGTCCTTTAAGTAGGATTCAAACCAATGTAGAACTGTTGCCGAAAGTCCCAACCAATGTTCCAGTCGGTCTAGAAATATATTGTGGAAAATAAACAGAAAACAGGAAAAAACTGACAGATCGTGACGAGTGGAAATACTCAAGTAAAGTCCTTCAAAAATATGTACTTAAGTACAGAACCTGATTAAATGTACTTAGTTACATCCCAGCTCTGCTCTGTGTTTTTACCATGTCTCTGTTCCATGTTGACAGGAGCAGATTGATGAAGATGAAGATGAAGATGAGGTGAACTATGAAAACGATGGAGGGTCTTCTGCCTCTGTGTGACTGATCAACAACTCCCCTCAGAGCCCACTGCTGTCAAACATCACCTCCTCATATTCTACAGGAGAAAACAGGAGAACCATGAGATCATTTTAACATTTCTGATGACTGAGAACACCTGAGCCCCATGAGAGGCCCTTCAGAAACTCACCTCCATATGATAGGAAACATAGCTTATTATATTCATTCATTTCTGATTTTACATCCTTTAATTATGCTCTCACATTCCAATACATAGTGCTTAAACTTAAAACTTAAACTTTCAGCTGTTTATTCTGTATAATAATGTATTATTATCAGCATTGCTTGTACTTACAGTATATATTTTATTCTTATATATTCACTTCTTACTGTAACTGCTGCACATGTTCATACATACAAGTGTTGGGTTGAATTCACAAAATATCTAAATTGTAAAATGATCCCTAATCTATATTTTTTTCATTGTGCTCTCTGGGACTATCAGTCAAACTTGGTTCAATCAATTTTAAGAAAAGATTTTAATGGTTGTTGCAATTAATGATTCATAAAATGTCTTATAATTAGCATTACATGTCCTTACACCTACATTATTATACCTGTACTGCCTACTGTAACTGTAGCACATGTTCATGCTGTATATGTCAGGGTTGAGTAAGCAGGCAGGACCCAAATGCAGATTTCCAAGAATAATCCTTTATTCCAAGGTACAAAGTAGAAACACAGAACACTACCCTGTGACACACAGTCAACTACAAACAATGAACCAACAATGACAGACAGAAAAACCAGAACTAAAATACACACAAGACCAATCACACAAACAAGACACAGGTGAGGAGGGAGGAGAAAACACAGGGGCACCAGGTGAACACAATCGGGCAATCAGGCAGGACAGGGGTGAACACTTTTCAAAACAAAACAGGAAACCAAAGACAGAAAAAGACAAGACAAAACCCAACACAGACAGATCGTAACAGTACCCCCCCCTCAAGGGACGGATCCCAGACGTCCCAAAAAGTCCCAAAAAGTCCAAAACATTCCAGCAGGGTGGGTGGAGGGGGTCTGGAGGAGGGACGCACAACCAGGACCAACAGGGTGGGTGGAGGGGGTCTGGAGGAGGGACGCACAACCAGGACCAACAGGGTGGGTGGAGGGGGTCCGGAGGACGGGCCCGGAAGGGGTCCCGGGCGGACGGCCCGGGAGCAAGGCAGAGTCCAAAAAGGGGCGAAGGCCACAGCGGGCGAACTCAGGGACCCGGGCATGAGAGCGAAGGCAGTGGTTGGGAGAGTCAGGAGGCCGGGCTCGAGGGCGAAGACCACGGCTGGGGTACTCAGGAGACCGGGCTCGAGGGCGAAGACCGCGGCACTCAGGGAGCCGGGCTCGAGGGCGAACAAGAAGACGTCTACGGGACAGCTCCGGAGGACGGGCAGGAAGGCGCCGACGGGACAGCTCCGGAGGCCGGGCAGGAAGGTGCCGACGGGACAACTCCGGAGGACGAGCAGGAAGACGCCGACGGGACAGCTCCGGAGGCCGGGCAGGAAGGCGCCGACGGGACAGCTCCGGAGGCCGTGCAGGAAGGCGCCGACGGGACAGCTCCGGAGGCCGGGCAGGAAGGCGCCGACGGGACAGCTCCGGAGGCCGGGGCAGGAAGGCGCCGACGGGACAGCTCCGGAGGCCGGGCAGGAAGGCGCCGACGGGACAGCTCCGGAGGCCGGGCAGGAAGGCGCCGACGGACAGCTCCGGAGGCCGGCAGGGAAGGTGCCGACGGGACAGCTCCGGAGGCCGGGCAGGAAGGCGCCGACGGGACAGCTCCGGAGGCCGGGCAGGACCCAGTATCGGCCGGACAGGAACCGGAGCCGACGGGACAGGCGTAGACGGGATCCTGAACATGACAAGGGCTGGTGTCAATGGGACCCCGGATGGAGCAAGGGCTGGTGTCGACTGGACCCCCAACGGAACAGGACACAGAGTTGGCAGGACCCCCGGCGGGACAGGTGTCGGCGGGACCCCCAACAGGACAGGATCTGGTGTTGGCAGGAAATCCGGCGGAGCAGGTGTCGGCGGGGCCCCCAACAGGACAGGACATGGGGTTGGCAGGACCCACAGCGGAACAGGTGTCGACAGGAAACCCGGCGGAGCAGCAGTCGGCGGGACCCCCAACAGGACAGAATCTGGGGTTGGCAGGGCCCACAGCGGAACAGGTGTTGGCAGGATCTCCAACGATACTGGACGTGGAGTTGGCAGGACCCTCGGCAGGAGAGTTGTCGGCGGGACCCCCAACGGGACAGGACATGGAGTTGGCAAGACCCCCGGCAGGAGAGTAGTCGGCGGGACCTCCAACAGCACAGGACATAGGGTTGGCAGGACCCCGGCAGGAGAGTAGTCGGCGGGACCTCCAACATCACAGGACATAGGGTTGGCAAGACCCCCGGCAGAAGAGTAGTCGGCGAGATCCCCAACGGAACAGGACATGGAGTTGGCAAGACCCCCGGCAGAAGAGTTGTCTGCGGGACCCCCAACGGGACAGGACATAGGATTGGCAAGACCCCCGGCAGAAGAGTAGTCGGCGGGCCCCCCAATGGGACAGGACACGGAGTTGGCAAGACCCCCGGCAGAAGAGTAGTCGGCGGGACCCCCAATGGGACAGGACACGGAGTTGGCAGGACCCCCGGCAGAAGAGTAGTCGGCGGGACCTCCAACGGTACAGGACATGGGGTAGGCGTCGGCCGTAGAGCCAACAGGACACGGGGGGCTGGCGTCGGCCGGAGAGCCAACAGGAGACGGGGTGCTGGAGTCGGCCGGACCACCAACGGGACACGAGGGGCTGGAGTGGGCCGAACCACTGACAAAACACGGGGTGCGGGAGTCGGCCGGACCACCGACAGGACACGAGGTGCTGGAGTCGGCCGGACCACCGACAGGACACGAGGTGCTGGAGTCGGCCGGACCACCGACAGGACACGAGGTGCTGGAGTGCTGGAGTCGGCCGGACCACCGACAGGACACGAGGTGCTGGAGTCGGCCGGACCACCGACAGGACACGGGGTGCTGGAGTCGGCCGGACCACCGACAGGACACGAGGTGCTGGAGTCGGCCGGACCACCGACAGGACACGAGGTGCTGGAGTGGAATCCACAGGTGGACTGGAGGAGGCAGGAAATGCAGCAGAAGACGTCAAAGTCGAGACCCGAGCAGCGAGGCCCGGGAAGCATAGAGCCAAGGACCGCTGGCTTTCCTCAAAGTCTCGCCACGCCTGCTCATGTTCCTGAGAAATGGCGTGCTGGAACGGAACAGAGGGCAGAACCATGGCTGCCGGGGCCAGAACTGGGGCTGGAACCATGGCTGCATGGGCCGGTTCTGGAGCTGGAACCATGGCTGTTGGGGCCAGAACTGGGGCTGGAACCATGGCTGTGTGGGCCGGTTCTGGAGACGGAACCATGGCTGCTGGGGCCTGTACTGGAGCCCAAAGCATGGCTTCTGGGGTCGGGCTGCTAGCCTGGACTTGCGACTCCTTCTCCTAGGAGCCTTTTGGAGGCTCCGTGGACCTCCAAAAGCCAGACGAGTGCCCGAGAACGGCTCCAGGACAGGAGCAGGAAATGGGGAAGAAGCAGGGGTTGACTTCAGACGGAACACACCGAGATGTATGGTGTCAGGTTGGGAGTTGGGAGGCAGGGGGCTAGCATGCCTGGGGCTAGCAGGCCGGGAATCACACGTCGAGAGGAAATCCAAAATCCAGTCAGGTAAGAACTTAACTAGAGATGGATCCACTGTTGCCACCTGGTGAGCCTCTGCCAGAGCAGCCTCTCTCTGCTGAACACTGGACGCTCCCCTCCACCTACTATAGCAGCAAGCCAAAGAAAAGGTAAAATGTTGTAATTCCACCTCAAATGGATCTGCTGGGCCCATTTCTGGTTGGTTCATTTCTGTCAGGGTTGAGTAAGCAGGCAGGACCCAAATGCAGATTTCCAAGAATAATCCTTTATTCCAAGGTACAAAGTAGAAACACAGAACACTACCCTGTGACACACAGTCAACTACAAACAATGAACCAACAATGACAGACAGAAAAACCAGAACTAAAATACACACAAGACCAATCACACAAACAAGACACAGGTGAGGAGGGAGGAGAAAACACAGGGGCACCAGGTGAACACAATCGGGCAATCAGGCAGGACAGGGGTGAACACTTTTCAAAACAAAACAGGAAACCAAAGACAGAAAAAGACAAGACAAAACCCAACACTGACAGATCGTAACAGTATATCTGATCAATAGTCATACAATATATTTACCTTACTCACTTTTTACTCTATATGTATTCCTAAACCTGAAATGCCTACAGTATCTTAGGATGTTTTAATTAGCTTAAGTCCTAATGGAATATTTTACTCCTTTTTTTTATTACAGCTTTAATGATATATAATCCAAATAAAAATTGTTATTTTATTACATTTTATAATGAGTTGTGTTTCTCTCTCTATCTCCAACACACTGAAAACCAAACGCTTTGTTTGGTTGAACACCTCTCTTTGACCTGGCTCTCACTTTGTAAACAACAAGGAAGGTGTTGCACATTTAGTGGAGCTGTGGTGATATCCTGGGATCAGGTATGAGGCAAGAAAGAAAGTGATACTGTTTGATTTGACTTACGTAAGAGCGTCGTAGAGGAAGCTCTAAGAATGGCACATCAAGAAGAAGCTAAAGAACCTGGCTAGGTGGCTATAGACCTTTTCAAATTCCAAAGTCCAACCCAGTTTTCCAGTCGGTCTAGTAATATGTTGTGGAAAATAAACATAAAACAGGAAAACACAGACAGATCTTCACAAGTGAAAATACTCAAGTAAAGTCCTTAAAATATGTACTGAAGTGCAGAACCTGGGTACTTGGTGACATCCCAGCTCTGCTCTGTGTTTTTACCATGTCTTTGTTCTTCAAAGACATGGTAAACCAAGTTTTTCCTGTCTTTTAAGTAGGATTCAAACCAATTTAGAACTTTTTCCGAAAAGTCACACCCAGATCAGGTATAAGGAACAACATTTTGCCTGCAGATCTGCGTCAGACTCTTTATCCTTCTGTCAAGATGCTAACAACGCCTGTTTCTCGTGCCGAGGTGTGGAAGCCCCCTGTTCCCCTGCTCAGTCGAGGAGGACTCGGCTTCATTCTGCAATATCTGAGACGGTCCTAACTTCCAACCACATGGTCCTGTATGCCTCGGTGGTCCCGCCACAGCTTTTGCCTTCCAGAGAGATTCTTCATCGTCCTAGGACTCCCTCTTTCCTTTCTAACTTCCTGCGTGGTGGACCAGCAAGTCTGGTCGACCTTCATCCCGTCCTCTACAGCTGCTCCTCCCATCTGGTCCCTCTATCTGCCCCCAGGCCATCCTCCTGAGACTTCCTGCCAGAGAGAACCAAAGACTCATCTCTGCAGGGTGCACAAAATGAAGCTCAGTCAGATAAAACATCTTGGAGAGTTGAGTGTAGCGTCCTATAGTCAGGTCAGAGAGACTGCTCTAAGAATGGCACATCCAGAAGAGTCTGCAGTGTGTAGAGCATGAAACTATTTCAAAACAACATGAACATTACACCGGCTAATACATGTGTTTAAAAGTAGGCAATTAAAGTGAGTTTCATTAGACGCTCGTTGAGTTTATTAATGTTTCTGATGGTTATGTGGTCGGCATCAGAGGGTTAAACCTGCAGAGCTCTGCTGCTGCTGTTAACCACAGCTTCACAGAAATGCTTCTACAGTTCTCGGAAAAAGTAAAAATAAATCTTCAGAGATACAAAGAGGAACCACCATGTTGTTAACATGCATTAAAACTAGCCATCTTTACATGCTCAACTTCCTCTGTTGTGTTGCTGATGAAGAAGGCCTACAGTTACCTTCACTCTGAATAACCAAACACAAGAAATGCATCAAACATACAAATATGATGTTAAAAAAGTGTCTTACTCTTTTTATTACACAACAAAAACAAGAGAGATGAAATGCTGATATCACACATTAACCCAACGGTCATCAGAGGAGAGATGGATGAGGAAGTGACTCTTCATTATCACAGGAAGTAGATGCTGAGTTCTTGTTAAAGAAGCAGCCGGTTAGAGACTCTGACAGTCGAGAGCCAGAGACCGAGAGAGAAGCACGATGTCTGAATTCAGAAGGAACATGATGTCTTCATTCCTGATGCTGCTGCTCCACTTTCCAGGTGAGGATGCAGAGAACACACACTGTTTATGACTGTTAATGAAAGGTAGTGAGGGCGTCTTTCAATTGAAATCGATGTATCCTTGGGCAAGATGCTTAACCCCAAGTCGCTCCCAATGGGGAACGGTGTGTGAATGATACCTTCTGTCGTGGTGTTTTAATCAGTTTCTACATTTAATATCCAGTTTTCTCTATCGGGGTTGGGGGTTATGACGCGCCTCTCTTTGCTTCCAAACTAACTTTGTGGAGATCGTTGTAGCTTTGAATCACACCAGGTTTATTCTTTGATCAAGGCGGCATACAAACATGAAGACAAACTTCCTCGCTTCAAAGTAACTAAAAGTTCTCCGTAACAAAAAAGAATAAAAAGAACAAAAAGAACACGGTCAAAAGACTCTACCGCTTCCTGTCTAATCACACCCTCAGCTGTGTCCTAATGTCATGCCATATATAGGCATAAAGACATGCACGTCATACCTGACAGCGCACATCTGACAGCAAATAACTGAGACTTAAATTAACATCTTTTAAAGCGTAGTGTGACTCACAAAAATAAATAGTTAAGAGTTTACTCTAAAGCCTTTTAGTAATAAGACAAACATTCAAACCATAATGATGAAAGGGAAATGGCTCTAACCCCTTCAGTGAGCAAGGGGCACATTGCTCTGTATGAATTGGGTGTGAATGGGTGACTTGTTGTATGTAAAGCGCTTTGAGGGGGTGAAAGACTGGATAAAGCGCTTTATAAATACAGTCCATTTAACATTTACCAATTACATTAAATAAAACAGCTTTAATATCACTAACGGTACTTTACTACGTACTGTTCCTTTAACTGAGAATGGTGAGTTGTGTTTGTAACGTGGTGACTTTAGTGAACTCTTGGTCACTAAAACCCACATAGCAATATTCTTTAAAGTGATCGTCACACTCACTATGAACACTTCAGTTAGTTATGTGGATCTGTAATTAACTCTGGTCTGAACGTGTCGTTAAATGATTCATTAAACAGATCAACCAGAACTCTAACTCTTTACCTTTTTATATAATACATCATTATTCTGTCAGCATTTATGACATCTATATTTCTTTCTGCTTTTTCCCCCAACAGCTGCAGATGTGAAAGGTTACTACCCCTTTGTCAGAGCTGGAGATGAAGTCACTTTGCCTTTTGACAATGTGATAGATGATCAGGATAAGTGTGAGAGTACTACCTGGTACTTCAGTGATTCAAGAGGTTCAGCAACAGTGTGGCTGTTTGAAGACGGGCAGATTATAGAAGAAGCCAAAGCTAAATCAGACAGACTGAGAGTTACAGAGAAATGTTCTCTGGTTATAAAGAAGGTCACAGAGGAGGATGCTGGTAGTTACATTTGCAGACAGTTCAGATCAGAACAACAACAACGTTTATACTCTTGGGTTTTTCTGTCTGTTGTTACCAGTGAGTATTTACATCATAATGTTTTCAAACTGTCTCTAAACTGAAACATTCCAATAATGATGATGATTACAGTGATGAAGTACATTTACATGTTGTTACATATTGTGGTTGTCTTTTCTCTCACAATATCTCTATCTTCAGTGACTGAACATCAGGACAATGATGAGGTGACGTTACGCTGCTCTGTGGTGCCATATGGAGGGTGTACACACACAGTGAAGTGGCTGCTTCAAGATCAAGATGTGGTTAAAGATCACAGAGATATAAAGACATCAAAGTCTTCCTGCTCTGCCTCTGTGACATTTCTGACTTCTCATTTTAGTAACACAACAAGGTTTGAGTTGTTTACCTGTGCAGTAACTGATGGTGCCAAAGTGCAGACCTTCAGCCTTCAGTCCTCAGGTGAGAACATGATGATCTGTTTAAAGTCACTTCTTACTGGTGTAAAAAAACAAACTTCAATATTTGTTTATTTTATGGACGATTAAAATGGAATAGTTTGTTAAGTTTTGTTCATCTGTTTAGGTGAGGACAAAAATCCAGCAACAACAACACCAACAACACCAACAACACAAACAGAACAAGAGGACAACAATAAAGGTAGTGAGAGAACAGAACATATACATTCCCAGTTAGAGAAGACATGCACACATGCAGTATATACACACCTGGATGTACTGAAGAGGATAAGGAGTGGACTCAGATCCAACATCGTTTATAAAGGTAACATTTTATGTAGATAAAAAAGAAGAACTGTGTGGATTATAAATATGTTCTGTATGTGTGTTTGTATCTGTATGTTCTGTATGTGTCCCTGTGTGAAGGTGACGAGGAAGCATCAAACAGCCAAGACACATTTTGTTCATTCAGATTTGAGAGATAAAGAGATATAAACCTCTGACTATATTGAACTCTTCGGTACCACTTTACAATAAGACTACCCTTATAAAGGGTTTACGAATAGTTTGTGATTCATTTATTAATTAGGTTGTGAACACTTTATAAATCATTAATAAGCTTTTATAAGACATGAGATAAACAGGGCAACTGTACCGGTTGCTTGCCAAATAGTGAGCCCACATGTATCTCTACTGCTAAGTCTTATATTGGCTACCTAGCTTACTTCGTCTCCTTCATCAGCCAGCATCCTTGGTATCTGTTGCTCACTGAGTTGATTCTCGCTAAGTAGCCAATATAAGGCTTAGTCATCTTGCCAAATAGTGAGCCTGTGTTTATGTTTGAACATTATGTTAGAACTGGTTTATAAATGGCTCTTAATGATTAATAAAGTCTTTACAACCTAATTCATAACCTAATTATAAACCCTTTATGAATCCTTTATAAGGGTAGTCTTATTGTAAAGTGGTACCAACTCTTCTAACTTCTCTTTTCCAGGTCGCTTGAGGCTCATCATCGTGTCTGTGGGTTTAGCAGCTCTCATCATCACCGTGGTTACAGTCAACATGTGGACAAGAACTAAAGGTGAGAGATTTTCACAGATGAGATAAAAATATATAAATAAAGGTGAAATCTAATATCAACTTGTTTTGTCCTTTTTTCAGGGAGCAAAGCACAGACGGAGGAAAACATGGTGAGTTTGAACATTGCATAATTAAATGTGTGTATTATTTGCTATCCAATTTTAACAATGGATATATGACAGGCATGAGGAGATGCAACACAAGATTAATTTAGAATATTTATGTATCCAAATTAAATGATCTCAGAAAAAGCAAAACAGTTCATTAACCAACATAACAGAAAACAGCAACAAAATGAAATAAATGCTCATTAAGGACGCTTCAAAGTGACCATGTAGTTCAGGGGTATTCAACTAAAATTCAAACAGGTCCAGTTAGAGAAAATGTCCCCATGCAAAGGTCCGGAACATCAAAATGTCTAAGTTGCTTTATGAATTAGTGTGATATATATTGAAGTAGCCTGTAGCTTTATCAACGTCTGCATGTAATCAACATCTGACTGCCAATCAAATAAAGAAAGTACAATTCAAAAACAACAATATTTATTGTCAATTAACATTGAACTATACAGATACAGTAAAATACTGTGGATATGTGTAATGTTCCTCTCTGGCTGCATTTCAAAATAAAATAGGAGAAAATAAATAAAATAGCTTTTGAAAATATGTGCATCTTAAAAGTGCTTAATTTTAGATAAATAAAATAAAGTGTAGCAGCAGCTTGAGTTTCCCTTTTTCTTTGTTAACCGTTTCAAATCATGACCTAACAGTTTCAGCCGATTATAGAACAATATCAGTCTTTACACATCATAACAATTGAACAGTTTTAAAGTTTCTCTTTCTTTCCCTCTTATATTGCAGTCCCTCACTCACTTTTTTTAAATTCAGTGCGAGAATTGAGCTCGAGCTTGTCCTGCCAGGAGTTTAAATCTGGGCTGAAATGGTGCCCTGGAACGATATTTAGTTTTAAATTTGATCCTGGTGGACTGATCATATTGGGCTCTGAGACTGCTTATTTTTTGTGACCTCAGTTCTGACTTGAGAGGGAATGTTTGGTCAAACACTTTGTGTTTTGTCTCATAGTGGCGTTTTGGCACTTTTAATGAGCGCTACGGTCTCTGAACAAATGAGACACACTGGTTCTGTGCTCCCAGTGGGCAGGATGAACATGAATGAGTCCGTCCACTCAGGGTTAAAAGCTCTGTTTTCACTGTCCACTTTCCTCTTCTTGGAGAGCGCCATGTGTAATTATTTGTCTCTCCCTGTCTGCTGCTAACACGCCTGTTCACTCTCCTCTCCGCTTCTCTCCCTGTATCGCTAATTATTCTCTTCACTCACTTTCCTCTCCGCTTCTCTCTGCCGTCCTCTCATCTCTTTTTCTGTGTTTCTCTCCCTGTATCGCTCACTCGTCTCTTTCGCCCCCTGTCGGCAGCGGTTAAAATAGAATCGCCCCGTCAAAATTGAAATCCCCTATTAATGTATTGATTATAGGTCTGGGTCCGTATAGGTCGGCGTCTGGGTCCGGATCCGGACCGCGGTCCGCCTGTTGCCGACCCCTGATGTAGTTGAATCAACAGCTCTTTATAATGCTTTCAATTACATTAAATGCAGCCAGTGGTAGCATGTAGATGATAAAGAGGAGAGGCCCAAAGACAGAGCCCTGAGGAACCCCACATGTCATATTTGTCCACTGAGATGTGTAGTTACCTGTCCTTTAAGTAGGATTCAAACCAATGTAGAACTGTTGCCGAAAGTCCCACCCAGTGTTCCAGTCGGTCTAGAAATATATTGTGGAAAATAAACAGAAAACTGGAAAAAACTGACAGATCGTGACGAGTGGAAATACTCAAGTAAAGTCCTTCAAAAATATATACTTAAGTGCAGAACCTGAGTAAATGTACTTAGTTACTTTCCAGCTCTGCTCTGTATTTTTACCATGTCTTTGTTCCATGTTGACAGGAGCAGATTGATGAAGATGAAGATGAGGTGAACTATGAAAACGATGGAGGGCCTTCTGCCTCTGTGTGACTGATCAACAACATCATCTCCCCTCAGAGCCCACTGCTGTCAAACATCACCTCCTCATATTTTACAGGAGAAAACAGGAGAACCATGAGATCATTTTAACATTTCTGATGACTGAGAACACCTGAGCCCCATGAGAGGCCCTTCAGAAACTCAACTCCATATGATAGGAAACATAGCTTATTATATTCATTCATTTCTGATATAACATCCTTTAATTATGCTCTCACATTCCAATACATAGTCCTTAAACTTAAAACTTAAACTTTCAGCTGTTTATTCTGTATATAATGTATTATTATCAGCATTGCTTGTAATTACAGTATATATTGTATTCTTATATATTCACTTCTTACTGTAACTGCTGCACATGTTCATACATACAAGTGTTGGGTTGAATTCACAAAATATCTAAATTGTAAAATGATCCCTAATCTATATTTTTTCATTGTGCTCTCTGGGACTATCAGTCACTTGGTTCAATCAATTTTAAGAAAAGATTTTAATGGATGTTGCAATTAATGATTCATAAAATGTCTTATAATTAGCATTACATGTCCTTACACCTACATTATATATACCTGTACTGCCTACTGTAACTGTAGCACATGTTCATGCTGTATATCTGATAAATAGTCTACACAATATTTTTACCTTTCTCACTTTTTACTCTATATGTATTCCTAAACCTGAAATGCCTACAGTATCTTAGGATGTTTTAATTAGCTTAAGTCCTAATGGAATATTTTACTCCTTTTTTTTATTACAGCTTTAATGATATATAATCCAAATAAAAAGAGTACTTTTATTCAATTTTATAATGAGTTGTGTTTCTCTCTCTATCTCCAACACACTGACAACACAACGCTTTGTTGGGTTTAACACCTCTCTTTGCCCTGGCTCTCACTTTGTAAACAACATACAGTTTGTGTCAGAGCCAAGGAAGGTGTTGCACATTTAGTGGAGCTGTGGTGATATCCCGGGATCAGGTATGAGGAAAGAAAGAAAGTGATACTGTTTGATTTGACTTATGTAAGAGCGTCATAGAGGAAGCTCTAAGAATGGCACATCAAGAAGAGGCTAAAAAACCTGGCTAGGTGGCTATAGACCTTTTCAAATCGCCTGATTAACATCCTGTCAGCTTTCAGTTTGGTCCTCCGGTTCAGTCAGCGCTTCAACTGTTGAGCAGAACCCCATTTTGCCAGTTCTTCCTTGGCTCCAGAAACAATTACCTCAAATGTATCTTTGTTTATATAGAAATGTATTTATTAGGATAAACCCCTTGAGATGCACCATCTCGTTTTTAAGAGGGTCCCGACAAAAGCAACATACCTGAACAAAATAACAGAAAGCAAAGCATGACAAACAAGGACAAACCACGTACAGTCTGTTAAGTACAATTCATGAAGTAATACATACAATCATTACATTGATAGACATTAGTTTCTAATAGATCAGTTTCGTCAATAACAAGAGCAGAGCAGCTGGAAGTGAGATGATAATGCTTATACATACCCAATGATGCAAGGGATCTAATAGTAGCAGGTGAAGTAACAGTCTGTTGGGGCTTTAAACATGAACGCTCTTCCGCCAATAATTTGTTTAGCAGAGGGGACAGAGAAATACATCTGGACAGAGTGTCTAACTTGATAATTTGACGAGTAAGAGACTAAATACTGCTTTAAATAAGGGTTTAATGGAAGAAAGTTCTGACACATACAGTCATTGATTTGTTCAATGCACTTCCTCAGTGTTTGAATTGGAGCATAGTCTCCTGTTGAAATGGTTATGTAAATGTGTGTGTCATTTGCATAGCTAGGGTGCTGCTCAGTCCAGGAGGACTCGGCTTCATTCTGCAATATCTGAGATGGTCCTAACTTCCAACCACATGGTCCTGTATGCCTCGGTGGTCCAGCTTTTGCCTTCCAGAGAGATTCTTCATCGTCCTAGGACTCCCTCTTTCCTTTCAAACTGCCTTCATCCCGTCCTCTACAGCTGCTCCTCCCATCTGGTCCCTCTATCTGCCCCCAGGCCATCCTCCTGATACTTCCTGCTAGAGAGAACCAAAGACTCATCTCTGCAGTGTGCAGAACATGAAGCTCAGTCAGATAAACATCTTGGAGAGTTGAGTGTAGCGTCCTATAGTCAGGTCAGAGAGACTGCTCTAAGAATGGCACATCCAGAAGAGTCTGCAGTGTGAAGAGCATGAAACTATTTCAAAACAACATGAACATTACACCGGCTAATACATGTGTTTAAAAGTAGGCCATTCAAGCGACTTTCATTAGACGCTCGTTGAGTTTATTAATGTTTCTGATGGTTATGTGGTCGCCATCAGAGGGTAACACCTGCAGAGCTCCGCTGCTGCTGTTAACCACAGCTTCACAGAAATGCTTCTACAGTTCTTAGAAAAAGTAAAAATAAATCTTCAGAGATACAAAGAGGAACCACCATGTTGTTAACATTCATTAAAACTAGCCATCTTTACATGATCAACTTCCTCTGTTGTGTTGCTGATGAAGAAGGCCTACAGTTACCTTCACTCTGAATCACCAAAGACAAGAAATTAATCAAACATAAAAGTCTGATGTTAAAAAAGTGTCTCACTCTTTTTATTACACAACAAAAACAAGAGAGATGAAATGCTGATATCACACATTAACCCAACGGTCATCAGAGGAGAGATGGATGAGGAAGTGACTCTTCATTATCGCAGGAAGTAGATGCTGAGTTCTTGTTAAAGAAGCAGCCGGTTAGAGACTCTGACAGTCGAGAGCCAGAGACCGAGAGAGAAGCACGATGTCTGAATTCAGAAGGAACATGATGTCTTCATTCCTGATGCTGCTGCTCCACTTTCCAGGTGAGGATGCAGAGAACACACACTGTTTACGACTGTTAATGAAAGGTAGTGAGGGCGTCTTTCAATTGAAATCGATGTATCCTTGGGCAAGATGCTTAACCCCAAGTCGCTCCCAATGGGGAACGGTGTGTGAATGATACCTTCTGTCGTGGAGTTTGAATCAGTTTCTACATTTAATATCCAGTTTTCTCTATCGGGGTTGTGGGTTATGACGCGCCTCTCTTTGCCTCCTAACTAACTTTGTGGAGATCGTTGTAGCGTTGAATCACATCAGGTTTATTCTTTGATCAAGGCGGCATACAAACATGAAGACAAACTTCCTCGCTTCAAAGTAACTAAAAGTTCTCCGCAACAAAAAAGAATAAAAAGAACCCAAAAGAACACGGTCAAAGACCTCTTACCGCGTTCCCTGGTCTACATCACACCCTCCGCTGTGAACTAATGTCATGCCCTTATATAAGGCCTAAGGTACACTGCACGTCATACCTGACAGCGCACATTTGACAGTACATAAGTGAGGACTTAATTAACATCTTTTAAAGGCGGAGTTGGTTAGTGACTCACAACAAATAGCTAGTTTAAGAGTTTCTCTAAGCCTTTTAGTAATAAGACAAACATTCAATACCATAATGATTGAAAGGGAAATGGCCTCTCTAACACCGTCAGTGTAGCAATGGGTTTATGGAGCTATATTTCCTGCCATAACTCCACAAACAAAAATAAGCAAGTTGTTACAATGCCCTTATGAGTTCACCAACAAAACACAATGTGGTTCTGCCAAATACAAAACACCATCTACAAAAACTAATGAATTTAGTTTTGCAAAGAAAAAACGTATCTAGTCGAACCAAACCACTAACATTTTTCTAAGCTAATCATGTTTCAGAGACACCAATTCAGCTTAGGTTTACAAGTACACAACTTTTTTTTACAACATACAAAACTTTTTTTTACAAGTACAAAACTTTTTCTTCTCACAGCGGAATATTACTGCCAAAAGTCACGTGAGTGAGTCACGTGACTTTTGGCAGTAATATTCCGCCGTGGCTGGCTCATACACAGTCACACATGCTCACTCACACATGCTACACGGCAGCAGGGGGCGCTACTGAGTCCATTGGGAAGACAGGAGGTTGAAGCAGAGCATGGAACAGCTCTTGCCAGTCTGATGACAGGTGTTATAGTGATAATATTATAAACAAGGTGAATTTAGCGATCACAACGAAAACAGCCAAGACACATATTGAGCCCAGAAAATAAATGTTATTAGGGGCTGTAAATATAATAAGCCTTTGTCTAAAATGGACAACATTGTAACTAAGGAGATTTTAAACTATATATACAGCCAGGGGACGTTCGGGACGAATTCCCGATGGGCCGGTACTGAAGTGGGACCGGTCGGATAAGTCACTGCTCACCCCCCCCTTCCCCCCCGTCGACAATTTCCTCGCGGTATTTACTTGCGGCACCACCTGAGGTGGGCCGCTTACTTGCTGGTACCGAGGTGGGCCGGCGGTACCGAAGTGGGGCCGGTCGAGAGTCCCGGGCTGATTTGTAGTCCCAGTCCGCCCCTGTATACAGCGATTCTGCACTCGGTCAATCAGCTGCTTTTCATTTTTATTCCTGCTATATTCAATGAGTGATACAAATATTTTTTACCACAAGTTCTTAATAAACTGACACTGTTGGACTTGGTACTAGTTGACTGCAACCAGAAATAAAATGAAGTACTTTACTGTGTACTTTGTGAGTAATCCTCTGTCAGAGTCCCCTCCATAGTACATAATGCATGTTTTTGCTATCTTTGATGAATGATAAAAATAAAATGTTACCATTAGTTCTTAATGAAATTGATACGGTTTGACTTTGTATTAGTAAGCCTACTACTAACAATACATTGAAGTACTTTTACTGTGTATTTTTTGAGAAATACTCTCAATCAAGCCACTTCTGCTAAGTTTGATGAGGGAATTCTTTTTTGTTGCCATTAGTTCTTCGGGAAGATTGATCCTGTTGGACTCAGTACTACTGAAACTACCCCCACAAGTACTATGAAGTACTTATTGTGTACTTTTCCAGTAATCCTCTGTCAATGTCCCCTCCTGAGTACAAGAATGCATGTTTTTCTTTTAATAAGCGTTTA